ACCTCCTGATTCACCCACCTCAGCCTCCCAAGGTGCTGGGATTACAGGTGTGAGCCACTGCACCCGGCAGATGGCTAATCTTTACAGGAGCAATCACCCTGGCCCACCAGACACAAATGCAAGTCTGATTGGTCCCCTATCCCATTTTGTTTCTGTTATCTTATGTAAAATGCAGGTTTTCTACACTCTTTCTGCCCCTTTTGTTTATGTAAAACTGTGTGCTGCTCGATATCCCACCCTTTCCCCTTTAAATTTGGAGCTGTCAGCATCATCTTCAGAGAAAGGCTGTCTTTCCGGCACATTTTTTTTTGTTTGTTTTTTGTTTTTTTGAGATAGAGTTTCACTCCATCGCCAACTGACAGGCTGGAGTTCAGTGGCGCGATCTCAGCTCACTGCGACCTCCGCCTCCTGGGTTCAAGCAATTCTCCTGCCTCAGCCTCCTGAGTAACTGGGATTACAGGTGCACACCACCACGCCCAGCTAATTTTTGTATTTTTAGTAGAGACGGGGTTTTGCCATGTTGTCCAGGATGGTCTCAAGCTCCTGACCTTGTGATCTGCCCACCTAGGCCTCCCAAAGTGCTGGGATTACAGGCAAGAGCCACTGCTCCCAGCCTCAGGCACATTCTTAACTTTGGCAAATAAATCCCCTGAAATATTGAGACTTTTATCATCACTTTCTTTGATTGACAGGTACTTGAATAGATTTGTATTGTGTTACAGACAGGAACTAGGAATAGAAGGGATAGTGAGGCAACTAGTCAGTAATGTCTGCTATAAAGCCTGAAGGATGAATATTTCATCCTTATGTGTGAGTTTTTCATTTTTGCTACAGAAGAAATTGTTTGTTCTGCTTTAATTAACACCCTAAAGTAAAGAACATACAACTATCACGTATCACCACATGTTCAGAAGCTTTTCACCAACCCAGGCCCTCAAATGATGTGTTGCTCTTTCTTCCTCAGGAAGATGAATTCTGGATTCTTGCAAGCCTTCCAGAGGGCACTCACCTGCCCCATCTGCATGAACTACTTCATAGACCCAGTCACCATAGACTGTGGGCACAGCTTTTGCAGGCCCTGTTTATACATCAGCTGGCCAAACTTCCCAGTTCTTGCTAAGTGCTCTGAGTGCAAGAAGACAACATGGCAGAGAAACCTCAAAACTGACATTCGTGTGAAGAAGATGGCTTCCCTTCTCAGAAAAGTCAGTCTCCAGCAGTTCCTGAGCGCTGAGGAGCAAATGTGTGGGGCTCACAGGGAGACAAAGAAGATGTTCTGTGAAGTGAACAAGAGCCTGCTCTGTTTGCTGTGCTCCAACTCTCAGGAACACCAAGATCACAGACACTGTCCCATTGAATGGGCTGCTGAGGAATGCCGGGTAAGTATGCCTCTGAAGATCAATTTCTGTAAAGGATACATAATATTCCTGTGAGTATATTTTCTTGGTGATTAGAGGAAGCCATCTCTGAGTCCCTTAAGCATCTCTGTTTTAAAGTTTCCTAGCTCCAGACTTCAGAGTTTTGACAAACATGAAGGGGAAACAAAGGAAACAGTTTTCTCTGGGACTGACTTGTCTTTCATTCTGGGCTCCCTCCCTATGTCAGGG